TAATAATAATAATAATAATAATAATAATAATAATAATAATAATAATAATAAAGTTGGAAGGGACCTTGGAGGTCATCGAGTCCAACCCCCTGCTCAGGCAGGAACCCTACACCATTTCAGACAAATGGCTGTCCAGTCTCTTCTTAAAAACTTCCAGTGTTGGAGCATTCACTGCTTCTGGAGGCAGGTTGTTCCATTGTGTTAATTGGAAGGGACCTCAGAGGTCTTCTAGTCCAACCCCTTCCTCAAGCAGGAGACCCTATTAGACCCTTCCAGACTTCACTCCCATCTCTGAACGGGCATGCTGGGTTTCTCCCACCGTCCCCCACCCCAGTTACAGGTAGCACCTCGACGCACGACCACCACCGGGCCTCAACTTTCCGTTACTAAGCACGACGGTTGCTAACTGAGTTTTGCCCCAATTCACAACCTTTCTTGTCACCGTCGTTAAGCGAATCCCGGCGGTTGTTAGGTTAGTGGCGCAGAATCCAATTTCCCAGCTGGCTTTGCTGGACGGAAGGTCGCAAAAGGGGACGGTCGCCTGAACCCGGGACGCTGCACCCGTCATAAGTATGAGTCAGTTGCTAAGCTTCCGAATTTTGATCACAGGATCCGGGGTCAGTAAGTGCGAAAAACGGTCCTTTTTTTCCCAGTGCCTTTGTAACTTCGAACGGTCACTAAACGGACAGTTGTAAGTCGAGGACTCCCTGCATTCAGAAAATCGCGACACAAATCGCCCGCCCCAAAAAGACAGCCAGTCCTCGCCTTACGACCACAACTGAGCCCGGCCTTTTTTGTCGCTAAGCGAGGCCGTCGGTTAGCGAGCGGCTTCCCCTCTGACGACCTTTCTCGCCAACCTGGGTAAGCGAATCACTCCCGTTGTTGTGAGTCACCCGGCCATTAAGCGAATCTGGCTCCCCCGTTGCTGGAGAGAAGGTCGCAAAAGGGGGACGGTCGCCTTTGGAACGCGGGACGCCGTGACCGTCGTAAGTACGAGTCAGTGGCGGAGCTTCCGAATGTTGATCACGGGACTACGGGGGACGCTGCGATGGTCAATAAGTGCAGAAAACAATGGTCCCGGGTCGGTTTTTTGTAACTTGGAAGGGTCACTGTGAAGGCTTGTAAGCTTTGCCTTCCATCCGTCAACGGTAGGCACGCACGAGCACGTCAAGCGCCAGCCCATCAAAGCCCAACTGCCCCTGCAGTCTGACCGGCCCCTGATGGGCATCCAGAGCGAGAAGAACTTCGTGACGGCCAACGTGGCCGAAGCCATCATGGCCGTGGCCAAGAAGCCCCTGCACGCCTGCGTGGACCAGCGGAGAGGGGAGAAGTTCCTGCTGGATGACTCCGGGCTGGTCCAAAGGTTCCTCAAGAAGAAGGTGGGCTCCTTTCCGCGGCCCCGGGACCGGCGGGCAGGGAGGCCGGGCGCAGGCGAGTGGGGGGGGGGAAGGGGCTGTCTGAAATTGGGAGGAGGGAAGAGGGGGGTTCTCTTCAGAAAAACCACCCCCCCTGTGCCCACTACACTCCCTCACTCACTCTCTCCCTCTCCCACTGGTTGGCTTTCTCTTGGTTGAATGTTTTAAGTCCGAGAGCCTTTTTTTGATTGAATTAATGGTCTAATGTGTGTTTTATACTGCATTTTGTTTCAATAGCTGTAAGCCACCTGGCACAATGGGTGTAGAAACAGGTAGATAGATAGATAGATAGATAGATAGATAGATAGATAGATAGATAGATAGATAGATAGATAGATAGATAGATAGATAGATAGATAGATAGATATGATGATAGATAGATGATAGATAGATAGATAGATAGATAGATAGATAGATAGATAGATAGATAGATAGGTAGATGGGTAGATGGGTAGATGGTAGATAGATAGATAGATAGATAGATAGATAGATAGATAGATAGATAGATAGATGATAAATAGATAGATAGATAGATAGATAGATAGATAGATAGAGATGATAGATAGATGATAGATAGATAGATAGATAGATAGATAGATAGATAGGTAAGTAGGTAGGTAGATGGTAGATAGATAGATAGATAGATAGATAGATAGATAGATAGATAGATAGATAGATAGATGATAGATGATAAATAGATAGATAGATAGAGATGATGATTGATAGATGATAGATATATAGATAGATATATAGATAGATAGATAGATAGATAAGATGATAGATAGATGATAGATAGATAGATATATAGAGATAGATAGATAGATAGATGATAGATGATAAATAGATAGATAGATAGAGATGATGATAGATAGATGATAGATAGATAGATAGATAGATAGATATGATGATAGATAGATGATAGATAGATAGATAGATAGATAGATGGATAGATGGGTAGATGGGTAGATGGTAGATAGATAGATAGATAGATAGATAGATAGATAGATAGATAGATGATAAATAGATAGATAGATAGATAGAGATGATAGATAGATGATAGATAGATAGATAGATAGGTAAGTAGGTAGGTAGATGGTAGATAGATAGATAGATAGATAGATAGATAGATAGATAGATAGATAGATGATAGATGATAAATAGATAGATAGAGATGATGATTGATAGATGATAGATATATAGATAGATATATAGATAGATAGATAGATAGATAGATAGATAGATAGATAGATAAGATGATAGATAGATGATAGATAGATAGATATATAGAGATAGATAGATAGATAGATACATGATAGATGATAAATAGATAGATAGAGATGATGATAGATAGATGATAGATAGATAGATAGATATGATGATAGATAGATGATAGATAGATAGATAGATAGATAGATAGATAGAGATAGGTAGGTAGGTAGGTAGGTAGGTAGATGGGTAGATGGTAGATAGATAGATAGATAGATAGATAGATAGATAGATAGATAGATGATAAATAGATAGATAGAGATGATGATAGATAGATGATAGATAGATAGATAGATAGATAGATAGATAGGTAAGTAGGTAGGTAGGTAGATGGTAGATAGATAGATAGATAGATAGATAGATAGATAGATAGATAGATGATAGAGGATAAATAGATAGATAGATAGAGATGATGATAGATAGATAGATAGATAGATAGATAGATAGATAGATAGATAGATAGATAGATAGATAGATAGATAGATGGATAGATAGATAGGATAGATAGATAAGTAAGTAGGTAGGTAGATGGTAGATAGATGGTAGATAGATTAGATAGATAGATAGATAGATGATAGATAGATGAGAGACAGACAGGTGATAGATTAGAGAGAAAGAGAGAGGGGGAGAGAGAGAGAGTAGGACAGACAAAGATAGGCGATAGACAGTCTCCCTTCCCAGGAATCACGAGCGTCTCACTTCTTCCTCTGCAGGACTTCGGGGTGACCCCCAAATACATCCATCGGCGTAAGAAAGAAGCCGTGGACGTGCGCAAAGAGCGAGCAGCCGCTCGGCGGGAGTGCCTGCAGAAGAAGCGGCTCACCCGCCTCTCCTCCCGCGAACGGGAGGGCATCCTGGAAGTAAGCAGACCCTCCCCCACATTGGAATGCATTGTTAGAATGTATTTTGCATTGTAACAACTACGGAATTAATCGGCAAGGAGATGACGGGGTTTAGTTAGCCTCTGTAGTTATCAATCTATGGTTCCCTTATCTTCTGAGGGGAGTTTCCTGTTTGCGGTTACAGTCAGTCAGTTAAGCAGTAAAGCACATGGTGACGGTACCCTTGGTTTGATCTGAGTAAAGAAGTAAAGCACATGGTGACAGTACCCTT